AAAAAAGCTTAAAAAATACACGAGAAAAAAGTTCAACCTTTTATGATTATATTGCAACGACACTCATAGTCCGCTTTGTACTTCTGATCGTAAAGTTCGCGCGCGCCGTAATTTAACTAAAAACTGAATTTGCAAGTTAAATTCGGGTCGTAATGACAAAAAAATGGAACGAACTTTATTTCGCCCACTGTAAACCGTAAAAAATAGTCTAAATTTTCGTGAAATTATACTAAAAAATGAAAAATCTGCCCAAAAAAAAAACTTTCTTTTCGTTTGCAGTAAGTCCATTTTTTATTGCTAAAAAAACTACATAAATGTAGTTTAAACATTTTTCGAAGAAAAAAAAATATGCTTAAGTCAGTTAGTTTTATGTAGGCACAAACAGTATTTATATGTATATTCAAAGGGAAGGAAGCGGCGTCAAAATATTTCCATTTCTCCGTCGACGAAAAGGGTCTTCACGTTTGTCCCTTTTTTTGTCATGATAATTGATTCAGCCATAATACATACACGCCCTTTGTGCGTATTCAAATTCAATGGAAGTAGAAAAATACGACCTCGTGTGTGCAGAGAGCGGGTAACGGGATATTACGTACGTCTTCATTTCAATCCTTCATCTGACACTGACCGATTCGAAGAAAGGCGAAGTAGGCGTGCGCGTTGATAAGTGCTTAGTTTCCATGGGAATTCCGACATGTGGATTTTATTTATCGGTTTAATAGAAGATATTACGTTACCAGGAGAGACGACAATTGTTAATACTTATATAACAAATCTATAGGTTTCCCATGGGAACAAAATGAATTGCTTCAATAATCGATACAATTTCTTAAATTGTTTTCGATACTTTCTTAACTAAGTACATAAAAAGTATTGAAGTTAATGAATTGCTAAAAAATATGGATTGTTTATATTTAATAATCCTTGATTTTGAAGATTTGTAGGGATTTGAATAGAAAATTGTGGATTGTGTGGATTTAATTGTGGTGATAGAAAACCAGTAGTAAATCCTTTTCTTTAAGCTCTTCAAGGTTTTCGTGTATGGTGGAGTGGAGGAGGAGACGTGTGCAAATGGTCATGAGAAAAAGAGAGACGTGCGCGAAGAAAACACATGTTTATCGGCCGTTTAAATGCAGCAATACGATTAAATCATAGTCGCATGTAACAAACGGGAACACGTTTTGTACGTACGTTCTCGCCGCAAATCAATGGGTTTTCTGCCGCTGCAGCCGCTGAAATTGTGAATGGAAGAAATCGATGATTTATATATTTAACATCCGATGGAAATACCGTTTCGGTGAAGAATTAGGAAAAAGCAAACAACAAAATATAAACAAACAATAAAACTGATGCTAATGAAAGTGAATAATCGTAGAATCACGTATTTCCAGGTAATTTATTCGAACAACGATTCTCACGAGGTCTCACGTAGCCCGAGCTACCGACTTCTTTTTTCGTGTTTCTTGAAGACCATATAATTAATCCAACCGAAATCCGCTAACGAGATTGTGCATCCATGCTTACATTTTTCTGTGCAGTTTTACGAAGAATACGCTAAACGCCTATTCATAGATTAAAGAACTGCGGATAATGATAATCGGAGGTCGGTAATCCTGACTAAGCCAAGAAGACGCATTGTGAAAGGACACTGCGTTCCATGGAAACTTCCCACCTAATCTTACCAAAAGACCCATTGTCGAACATGCAAATTATTCTTTCTCTCCTTCGAGATAAACTCGAGGAGGCACGTGGCCTGCAACCCGAGAAACGCACAACATCTCTTCTTTTTCTTTCGTTCTTCTCGAGACTTTCTCCGTAGTCGCGAACTCTTAACCTTTCCAAGCCAATTTTAGCTAATTAGTTTCCATTTCGCTACATTTCTAAAACCGAATTCCATCATTTCATCAAACCTCAATTCATTCTCCAAACTATAGTTTAGGTTACAAACATTCGTTATATATATGTATAAGCCTTTAATGTTAATCATAGTTTCAGGTAGTTGAATACAAATCCTTTCACTCACAAATTAGTCGACCTTAACCCTCAGATTAAAGAAAGTCTCCGGGTTCGAATCGTTAAGATTCCAATAATCCCTTTCTAATACAGTGTTAACTTATGAAAAATACAAAAACGTGTTAACTTATTTACAATATAAGATTACATTCACTTTTACTTAGTAAATCCCATTTTCTTTTAAAATAATAATAATCAATTTTACGAATTTTACAAAAGCTCTGATTTGTGAAACGAAACTTTCACCAAATTCAATTAAACTGTTGTCTTCGTTGCGCGTGAAATATCGAGAGAAGAGTGTATTTTATTGTCCGGAATTTTCGGTCCATTGTCGTCTTCGCTTCGCCAATTATTATTCACGATTTAAGAGTTGCGTGTGAATCGATTTGGAAACACCTGATCTCCCTTTTTTTGTTTGTACGCTCTTATAAATCTATTTATTTATTTGTGTTGCTTTTAGGTGCGTCCTATTGTGTAAACAAATAAAATTTGTTGTACCTTTCAACGGCACGAATGTTTCATTAACTTATTTTAACGTAAAATTAGTAAATTTGTTCAAAGATTTGCATTTGTAGTACGAAGTGGGAGGGCGGCAAAAATAAAAGAAAACATTTATGGATAAAAAAAAAGGTACACAGGAAATCCCCAACTTCGTCACTTAGGACTCTAATAATGATTTCCCAAAATATGGATAGGTCGTAAACCCGGCGAGAGCGCGCACGACCCTTCTTCATTCCCTTCGTTTGCCAGTTCTCTCTTCTATTTTTTACTCTCCCTTCTTATTACCGTCGCATAAAAAACTCTTAATAAAAAAGTTGTGTCTCCTTTTTTTTGTTGGTAAAATCCATATAAACATATATATCCAAGATACTTTTTTTTCTTCGTTTTTGGAAGCGTGCCGTACTCGTCCTTACTTACTCCCACCATGCGTCCGAGCACGGACCTGGCGGTGTTTTCCTTTGAACTCGTCGTGTGTCCCACTTCTACCTTTTACGGATTTAATTGTCAACTTCGTTCGTAATGCAGTGCAAAGGACGAAAAGTTTTTTTCTTTTCCTTTTTGACATTGATACTAAGTATATAGTTTATTCCACAATGCACGCATCTATTTCTTGTTAATAATAACAACTATGTTGCGATAATTATACAATTACGTAAATAGTTTTAGAAAAAATGTGTGAAGTAAAAGACGCAAGTGTATATTGAGATTTTTCCGTAATTAATTTTGTTGTGAATTAAACTACAGAAAAATAAACAAAATCTACTAATAAAACAATAATTGAATAAACATGATTTTAAGGAATATCAATGGATTTATATAAAAAAGGAAGGATAAAGTAAAATAATCAAAATATCTTAAGTTTTGAATGATGGTTGAATTATTTGAGTAAAAGAAAAACGCAAAATTTAAATTCTCAGATATTTTAAGAAATGAATTATTATAGTGAAAATGTGAAAATTTTCCAGTTTCCAGTATAATTTAATTTCAATTCAAAGATGTTTATTTTTTAACCAGATGAAGATTATAGAAAATGTCGGTGGCAATAGCAAGGCCGACAACCGAAATACCGTCAATCAAATTCCCGACTATATCAAAATCTCCGAAATAATTTAAAAATGTTATTGTAAAAATTTTCGATATAGTCGGGATTTTGATATAATCAGGATTATGTTTGTCGGGATTATTGTTTTCGAGATTCTGATACAGTCGGTATTATGGTTGTCGAGATTTTGATATAGTCGGGATTTCGAACGTCGGGATTTCAATAGACGGCATTTCGGTTGTCGGGCTTGCGTTATAGACCCAGAAAATGTTCATTGTAATATTTCAATAATTCGTTTTTTTTTTTCAAATAAAAGTGTAAATTTTCTTAAAGTCTGGAAGAGCTGAAAAAAATATGAACATTTTAATAGAATATTTGGCATATTATTAATGTTATATGATACTTAAATATGTGTCAAGTTGAAAAAAAAAGGAGAATTTGCAAATAGATATTGAGATTTTTCCATTTTCGTCAATATCTTCAATTGTTATGACAAAGAAAACATAACTTCAGAAGAATGAAAAAGTATGCTTAAAGTTGTTTTTTTTAGCCCGATGAAAATTATAGGAAATGTTTGAATAATGCGTTTTTACAAATAAGAATTGAAAGTTTTTGAAAATGTATATTTTCTGCAAAAAAAAATGAGGGATTTAGTTGAATAATAAGCATATTATTAATGTTATATGTATATATAGAGATATAGAAGCTTTAAAATTGTAGACTTATTTGTCTGAAGTGATGGTTATAATTGCTGTAACGTGTCAAGAGTTTTAAATTGAAACAGTTTATTTTGACAAAACAAATGAAACTAGTTTGATGATAATGTTGGTTATGTTCTTGATATGTGTCATCGATGTTAGGTATCAGCGGAGAGAGAGAGAGGTCGCACGACCTTTGATCCAAACGAAAACGGAACTCGTTGCCGACTACTACTGAGTGACCGAGACGCGTGTTTTCCCTCCCCCGAAACACTAGGTTATGACGATGTGTGTGTTTGATGTGTTTTCTGTATGCGTCGCGCGTGTATTGGAATTACCAAAGAAGACCTACTCTCTAAGGTGCATCCTTGCGGACGAGGTGAATGCGAAATTTCGGGTTGGTTCCCATCGTCATCATGGCCTTTCTTTCTTTCAACATTTTTGTTTTTCTTCGCGTTTTGTTGCGGCGAAACGGATTGAACGTGAGCCGCCTACACGTATGAAAGGATAAGAAGAAGAAGAAGAAGAAGAAGGTGGAGGTTGAGGAGGATAAGAAGAAGTAGGCTGTGTGTTTGAGATGAGGAGGAATGCCGATGAGGTGGAAAAAGAGTCGGAGAGCGTAGGCAGAGAGAGAGAGCGAGATGGTGGGTGAGTGCGAGAGGAGGATGGAGGAGGCGAACGGGCAGCATTCCCGTCGTGAGTCATGTCGATCTTGGATGCAGATATGTTGAGCGTCATCTCATGAATCAGCAGCGCGCGGCTTCTTTGGTGCCTTGTATTGCCACCCGCGGCCACGAGAAGAGGAGGCATTCCCACCGTCGCGAGCGTGACACACGGAGGCACGTGTGGCTCGGGACCCACCTGAGCAGGTAGTTAACGGGTAAGAGGCGCGAGGGCCGCTCCGGACGGTCGTGGGTACCCGCCGCCACCGTCTCCTCCTCCTCCTCCTCTTCCACCCCCTTCACCTACGAACCATCATCATCATCGTCCTCCTATGGTACCCAACCATCTCGGCGGGGTGAAGTGGGGGATTGCATGAAGCAGCCATGGGAAGATTCTTACTAACCTTGTCTCACGCGCGCGTCGCACGCTTACTTGCCGTGCCTGCTCCCCCCCACCCATTTCTACTGCTGCTGCTGCTCCTCCTTCCCTCCTGCTCCCCTTCACGCCGGACCGAAAAAAAAGAGAAGCTCCGATCCATCCGAGGTTCACCCCACCACCACCACCCGACTGCAGACAACATCACTACCGCTTGCATCCCAAACAGGATCACCAGAACTTCGCCTGATCCTGAACAGTGAACATCAGTGTTGTGCACTCTTCATACATACTCACGAAGAAGCAGCGCGAACTTGGATTACCACAAACAAACCACCTGTTCTTCTTCATCATCAACTACAACAACAACAACAACAACATCAGACGCAACAGCAACCCTTAGCGTTGTCATCAGTTGACGCATCAACCAGTTGTTTTTGTTTTGTTCTACAAACACCAGTGACAGTGATACCCTCACCATGGTTACGGAAACCAATATCATCCAGAGTGCTTCTATTAACAGTGCAGCTATGCCTACCAGTGCCAATTTGAATGAGCCCAATGGGCCAAGGAGAGTCTCAGACAATAGAAGAGTAAGTTTCAAACAAACAAACTCAAACTCAACAACAACAAACAAACAAAATCAATTACAATTTAACTAAAGTTTTATGAAACTTTAAAATTTCAATTACTTTTCAATAGTTTTTAAAACTAATCACTGTGAAATTTGATTTAAAACAAATATGAACTTTAGTTTGTACTAAAATTCTTGAAAAAAAATTATAAGAATTTCAAGTATCCAATCAAATATAATGATTATGATTAAGAAGTTTTTCGCGTTCGGAATTCAAAAAATAAATTGTTGTTGGCGCGTGACTCGTAAAGTAAACGTGTGTGTCTAATTTGTATTCTTTATTTTATTTGCAGAGTAATAAACCGATTATGGAAAAGAGACGAAGGGCGAGAATCAACAATTGTTTGAACGAGTTGAAAACGCTGATCCTGGACGCAATGAAAAAAGACGTAAGTTGATTGAAAAGAAAAAAGTGATTGTGAGCAGTGAATTAATTGTTTCTTTTTGTTTTTTTTTTGTTTATTATAGCCGGCAAGGCATTCGAAATTGGAGAAGGCCGATATTTTGGAGATGACTGTGAAACACCTACAGAACATGCAGAGGCAGCAGACGGCGATGAGCGCGGCCGCCGATCCGACGGTAATAAATAAGTTCAGAGCCGGGTTCGGCGAGTGCGCCAGCGAGGTGGGCAGATTCCCGGGCTTGGATCCGATCGTGAGGCGGCGACTCCTGCAACACCTCGCCACCTGTCTGAACCAGAACAAGCAGCAAGACGCCGTCTCCAACGGTTCGTCGTCAGCTTCGTCGTCACCGCAGCCCGTGCAAGTTCACATCCTTCCTTCGCCGCAATCGGAAATGCATCAACAGAGCAACATCATCTTGGGCAACGGAGGCGTCCAGCTGGTGCCCACCCGTCTTCCCAACGGCGACATCGCCTTCGTTCTGCCCACGGGAACGACGACGCCTTCGACATCGAGCAACTCGCCTCTACCTCTTCTCGTGCCTATTCCGACGCGCACACCTTCCACCGCCTCCGCCGCATCCTCATCCTCCAACTACTCCCTCGCCGGTAGTCCCGAACCCATGGACGCCCTCCGGTACAGCCCTCCCATGCAGAAACCTTTATCGCTTGTCATGAGGAAATCCGTGATGCCAGTAGTCGAAGACAAACCGTGGAGGCCGTGGTGAACGCGCGGGAAACAGCAGCCATCGCCGTCCAAAGAAACTTCTACAAATTCTATGGAATCCGGCCGAAAACTGATCATCCTCGTTTCACACACCCTCAAAACAAAAAAAAATGGAAATTGAGGATCCTTGTAGATGTGATATATATACAATTAATTATGTTTTATTTGATAAAATATGCCATGTAAATAGGAATATTATTTTTCTATGCAATTTATTTATACGAAGTGAAATATATTTCGACATTTGTACATACATTTTATATATATATATATATTATATACATATACATACATATTTTTTAAGAAGTATTACTATGTAAAATGAAACACAGAGACAAGAAATGTGCCTTAATACAATTTTTGTTGTAACAGCAAAGATCATTGAGAGTCTTCCAAATATATTATTATTTTTTTTTACATATTGAAAAGTGAACAAATTTCGTTTGATATAAATCATCCCGAAAGTCCCCATTAAACTACTAGTATAATTATATAAATCCTAAAGGTCGAGTCTCTCGGTCTACCGAATCTTTGGAAATCGTCCAACTCCTACTAAACATCCTCATTACATTTGAACGCATTTGAATAATTGAAATTTATTATACTTTAACCACATTCACTAAAGCTACTTATTATAATTAAAAATCATAACAAAGAAAATAATCAATTTTCTTAATTACAAACAAAAAAATTCAAAATAACGCAAAAACTATTTTTTTATCGCGTAATTGAAAAATTAATTAGGTCATCAAATCAATATAAAAAGTACACAAAATTAAACTAAACTAACTAATTTTGGGTATTTTATAGAATATCGAGTTACGATTTTACCGTCAAGCGTATATACATATAATTGTACCTTTTTTTCCTCGGTAAGGATTTTATAATTTATGACGGCAATAAATTCCTTTGCCAGAATTCTTAATTAATGTGGATTATAATTTTCACGCCAATTATTTTCGTACCTGAATTCCTGATCGGAGCACGATCGAAAGTGCGCGCAAGCAATTTTAATCCTTAATCTGAAACGTATATTTAAGTATTGATTTTTTTTGTATGCATAATTCCCATAATTTGATAGGTTTTCTAACGTTTTTCTTTGCAATAGTTCATTAAATATTCTAAAATTATAATTTACTTAACATACATTACGTAATACTATTAAAATCGTAAAGTTAACTTTATTCTATACATTAAAATTTTGTTAAAAAGTGATATTTACTGCAGTCTTTTTCGTTTAAGTCGTGTATTTCTTGGAAGTTGTCAATATTTTAAAGTATTTCTAATTCATCCCAGAATCAGAAGAAAGCCCATAAAAGAAGATATTATTACCTGCGTTACATTGAGATGAAGAGAAAAGTTATATTGGATTGAAATAAACACTGTTGAAACCGAATATTTACTTAATTAAATCATAATGTAAATTAATAATTAAAAATCTGTATAATTAAATTTATTTAAAGTTAAACCCTAACATTTTTTTTATAATTAAAATTATTTGATTATAATTTACAGAAGAAATATTTTAGTGTATTTATATACAAAACCAACCCCCGTTTTATGCAACCCAATGCACACCAACCCTTGAATTACGAAATGTATCAAGTTAAACCCTAACATTTTTTTTTATTATTATTAAAATGTAGTTTCATGAGGAAATATTTGAATGTATTTTGATGCAAAATCAACCCCCGTTTTATGCAACCCAATTCACATCAACCCTTGAATTACGAAATGAGAACTGTCACACGACAAAAAAATGTAGTATTAACGCCGAGCGCTCATTCAGGTCGCGCTCAGTTAATTAATTAATTAGTATAATAGACGCGTGCGATGTTTACTACGTCGCAGCCTTGTAAATTCGGAATCTTTTATTTTCTTTTTGCAATCAACAAATATTTTCAATTATTTATAGACTTTCATAACAAACAAACGCTAAAGTCGTAACATTGGAAACGACATTCTTATTTACTTTCGAAGCAACCGGTGGAATCCATAGTAACAAACAACAGGTGAACAAAACAATACGTTTCAGCGTCACATTTCATCTGACAGTTAAGTTAATTAACAGATCTTTTTGAATAAAAATGTTTAAATTCAATTTGTTTATATGAAAGTTGTTCGTTTTCGAAGCGAATGCAAAAGTCAAAGGATTATCGGCGTTCGGAATCGGGGATCAGCGCAGAAAAGAAGAAGCCGCAGTACTTCGTCTTCTACTTCTTCTTTTTCTTATTCTGGTAAGGAAATCAAGTAGGCAGTGGTGATTCTGTAATGAGGCGAGCGGCGCAGCGCGTTCCGGCAAAGAAGAAGTGAAAGTGAAACATTTCAGTTTCATCAGTTTTATTTATTATACGGTATTTAATTGAATCAGGCGAGGTGGAAAAACGGTCAAATCATTAATAAAAACTTGCAAAAAGAAAACAACTTATAACTTAACATTAATTTCGAAATGAATAACTGCTTGCATGTTAAACTCATCCTCGTTTCAGAAAACGTGATATAAACATACAGCAATACCCCGAATAGTACGGCTAATCAATTTCGCCAATATATTGTACTATTTGAAACCGGACTAATCGAATTAAATAAAGAAAACAATATTTTTTGTGTACTAACTTTTTAGAAGTTTGTTTTTTTTTTAATTTACAGAGAATCCGGACTAAACGAAGTCGTAATATGATAGTTATTATAAATATTATAAAATATATAGTTTAATAATTGTTGATAAAATTAATAGTCAAAAAAATATGATGACATGATATAAATATGCAGCAATACCTCGAATACGGTTAATTGATTCCGCTAATATTTCGCACTGTTTGAAACCGGACTAATTGAGGAACTAAATATAGAAAACGATCATATGTCTATCAAAAATTAATTTTGTGTACTAACTTTTTAGAAATTTGTTTTTTTTAAATTTTCAAATTGGATTATAGAGAATCCGGACTAAACGAAGTCGCACTATGAAAGTTATTATGAAAATTATAACAATATATAGTTTAATAATTGGTGATAAAATTAATAGTAAAAAAAAACATGAAAATATTATATAAATACCTCGAATAGTACGGTTAATTAATTCCGTTAATATTTCGCACTGTTTGAAACCGGACTAATCGAGGAATTAAATAAAGAAAACGATGGTTTATGTATAAAAATCTATTTGATGTAGTCATTTTTAATTCGGATTATAGCAAATCCGGACTAAACGAAGTTATTGCAAATATTACAAAAATATACAGTTCAATAATTGTTGATAAAATTAATAGTAAAAAACATGATAACATGATATAAATATAGAGTAATACCTCGAATAGTACGGTTAATCGATTCGGTAATATATCGCAATGGTTGAAACCGGACTAATTGAGAAATTAAATACAGAAAACGATCAATTATGTATAAAAATCAATTTTATGTATTGATTTTCAAATCGGATAATAGCAAATCCGGACTAAACGAAGTTATTGCAAATATTAGAAAAATATACAGTTTAATAATTGTTGATAAAATTAATAGTAAAAACAACATGAAAACATTATATAAATATAGAAAACGATCAATTATGTATAAAAATCAATTTTATGTATTGACTTTAAAATCGGATTATAGAAAATCCGGAATAAACGAAGTTATTGAAAATATTACAAAAATATACAGTTTAATAATTGTTGATAAAATTAATAGTAAAAAAAACATGAAAACATGATATAAGCAATACATCGAATAGAACGGTTAATCGATTCCGTTAATATTTTGCACTGTTTGAAACCGGACTAATTGAGGAATTCAATATAGAAAACGATCAATTGTGTATAAAATTCAATTTTATGTATTGATTTCAAATCGGATAATAGCAAATCCGGACTAAACGAAGTTATTGCAAATATTACAAAAATATACAGTTTAATAATTGTTGATAAAATTAATAGTAAAAAAAGCATGAAAACATGATATAAGCAATACATCGAATAGTACGGTTAATCGGTTAAAAATTAATTTTCTGTACTAACTTTTGAGAATTTTGTACTTTTTTAAATTTTCAAATCGGATTATAGAGAATCCGGATTAAACGAAGTCGTACTATGAGAGTCATTATAAATATTATAAAAATATATAGTTTAACAATTGTTGATAACATTAATAGTAAAAAAGCATGAAAACATGATATAAATATAGAGTAATACCTCGAATAGTACGGTTAATCGATTCCGATAATATATTGAACTGTTTGAAACCGGACAAATTCAGGAATTAAATATAGAAAACGATCAATTATGTATAAAAATTAATTTTATGTAGTCATGTTCGAATCGGATTATAGCAAATCCGGACTATACGAAGTCGTACTATGCGATTGTTGATAAAAGTAAAAACGTAATTTAATATGACCAATTTTGAAAAATAAGACAAAAAATATATACTGAAGGTGTAAGTTTTCTAACTAACACGAAACGATAATTAATTGTAAGAAGAACAAGAAACAGTGATTGAAGCGAGGTGAGAAATCGAGGTCGCGTTTACAACGTTAAAGGAAGAGCTGGAAAAAAAAGAGGAGCAATCATCAACGTACAACGTGAAGTTCGGAGATCACGACAAGTAACATACAAATAAAAAAACGAGTAGTATTAATTACGGCAACTGGACGTAAGCTGATGACCGTGTAATTATAATATTAAACCGATGTAATTAAACCCCCCCCCCCATTTTCGTACGCAGACTTTCTGATTATATTTAATTAGCGTTTTTCTCTCCTGTTTTCTTGATGGTAGGGTTGTTCTGGGTGGGCTCATCCGAATGAATTTCATTCTGCTTTTATCTTCACTTTACTTTTGTATTCTCTGCTTGTCTTAATACGTTTGGATTAACGCTTCTCCTTATTGAACTTACCTTAATATTTGCTTATGGATTGTTTACTCATAATTAGCGAAAAATCCAAAAATACGTCTGTCGTTTTATTTTTGGAATAATTAACATTTCCAAAAGAAAGAAATAACAGACAACACTTAATTAGCTTAAGCTAATAAACGTTTCGTTTCATGTGATTTATTAGTAATTGAGTCAATAATCTACACAGCAGTTCAGTTATTACTTATTTCTTCGCCTT